TGCATGTCCATGGCTCGAAATGGGATACAAGTTTCCCCCGAGGGGATGTTTGGAAATGCATGGAGGCATTTTGGGAGGTGGGTGCTACTGGCACCCAGTGGGCAGAGGCCATGGGTGCTGCTAAGCATCTGTAACCCATCCCTTCCATACTCTTCCCGCCTAGTCACAGAGGTAGGTGGCAGGGCTGGGCAGCTCACCCTCGCTGGCTGCCTCCCTCTCGCGGTGCTTGGCGTCGGCCTTATCCAGGTAGGAGAAGCTGGGCCGGAGCTGCAGGATGCCGTGCAAAGGCGTCAGGTGGAGCTCACCTGTCGGAGGAAGGACTTCCTGACTCCAGGAACTGCGCCAACCCCCCAGCCTGGTTCAAGGCAGTCAGGCACCAAGGGTCCCGGACTCCACTGAAGGCCTTGGCCCCATGGCAAACCACCTCCCGCCTCTGATCCTAGGACCACTAGGCCGACCCCCGCCACCCCCGGCCCTGCCGGACACAGCAAGCACACAACCGGGATCAGGGTGGGAACGCTGACTCAGCCACGTCCGAAATGCCTGCCTGCAAACCTCCTCCACCAACACCCAGCCCCTGCCGTCAACTGCTGCTCCCACCACGCCAGGCAACCAACCCACAAACACACCCCTTTCCCCGCCAGGCCTCGGTCAGACACCCTTACGGCCTCCCTAACCCCACCCCCGAGAGTCCCTCACCCCCGCCTCTGCCTGCCAGAATCCCACCGTCCCATTAAGAAGTTAGCTACTGAAATGCGGAGGAGCCCACACTCTGAAGGCCATGGCTTCTCTGGGAGGCAGTGCAGAGACCATCCAGCTTACAGGTGACGTGGGCTTCCCGAGAGCAGAAACCAGAGGCCAGGCCCCGAGGGAGCAGGACGCTCCACATGAGGAGCAACTGCGTGGCCGTCCGGCTGCCAGGAAGGCGATGTTAAACTTTTGATTCTATTCTGTTTTGTTTCCTAAGTATTCACCTTAGTTTCACCTATTGCTTCATAAACTCTAAATACTTACAAGACCTTGTTCTTTTTAGCAGGTGCGAAATGTAATTCACACGCGCTAGAATTCAATGTGTTCTAACATACACAGAATTGCACAGCCAGCACCACAACCAATTTAAGAACGTTTCATCGCGCCGAAACCTGTGCGCAGCAGTCACTCCTCACCCATCCCTGGCACCCGCGCCCCGGCTTTCTGTCCCTGTGCACCTGTCCGTTCCGGACCTTTCGTGTGAGTGGGACACAAATGTGGGGCCTTGCTCTCCAGGCTTCTTGGTGTCTGCCCTTCACTCTGGGGTGACTGAGAATGCTCCCGAGTGGCCACACCACGTTGGCAACCACACCAGCTCATGGACAGACAGTTGCACGCTCCGTTTCACCAGCACAAATAATGCTGCTAGACACACGCAGGTACAAGTTTTTATGTAAACACAGCTTTCATTTCCTCGGGCAGATCTGCCTGGTAATGGAACTGCTGGATCACAAGTACCTTGTATTTAAAACAAGTCCACCACCTGTCTGGAAAGTCATGCTGTGTGTGCCCTGGAGCCCGACCCGTCAGGACAGGCTGCGGCTAACCGGAAGTCCCGACAGCCAACTCTGGAGCCGTGACACTCTGTCATTTGCACAAGCTGCCTGGCCCCTGTGGGTGTCTAGCATTTGGGGAAGAGGGGCTGGACACCAGGCTAGAGCAGGCCTGCTTCCCACCCCCTCAGCCTCTGCAGCCACAGCGGCCCAGGGCGCACCCCGAGGTACCTTGCCTGTAGAGCGCAGCAGCATAACGGGATGTGTTACTGGTGGTCTGGGAGGAGCAGAATGTCTGCTTGTCCATCAGCTTCCTGGGAGCACAGGGACAACGGGTGTCCAGGGGGGAAGCACCAGCCCCAGGCCGGGCAGGCACAGCCCCCTGGACTTCAGACACCTTCTGAAACCCAACAGCCAGGGAGCAAGCCCACAGGACAGGCTACATGTGCAGCCACAGGGAAACTGAGGTGACAAGCAGGAGGTGGGAGCCCCTACACCCCTCAGGGCCCCAGGAAGGACTTGAGTGGGAGGAGCCACCTCGGGGAAGCCCTTTCCCAGGGGAAGGGTCGGCACCAGGCCGCTCCTCGAAGGTGGGAGGCAGGGGGCCGGGAGCCAGCTCTGGGGCACAGGCCCGACACCTGAGGCCTGAGCAGGCACACTTGGACCGAGTGAAGCTCGAGGCCCAGAGGCCAGGGACTCACGAGGAGTAGGTGCTGGTCTCGTCTGCGCAGGTGCCATCCACATTCAGCGCGATCTGCTCCCCTTTGCTGCGGCAGTAGTTGGGGTTCAGGGTGTCGATGGCCATCTCAAGCTCTACCTGGAAGCACCAAGCACCCCCACCAGCCATGAGGTCTCCAAGGCACAGCCCTCGGGGGACCCCCGGCTGCCCCACTCCTGGCCCTGCGGGAAGCAGGGCACATGTCCCACCCCAGGGCCTCAGCTTCCGTCTACACCACAGGCCACAAACCCAGATTCCAACAGAAAAGGCCAGAGTGGTTTTGGGGAGGCGGGAGAGGGTCGTGTCATTTGGTCACCCCTTCCGCACAGCTCCACACGCCCAGAGGCCGACAGCTGAACTAAAAATGAAGAGACTTCTCACAGAAACCCGACTTTTACTTTCTCTCGGAAAGGCAGCACAGGGCTGCACAGGCGCTCCCAGCTGACCTGCCCCCGGCACTGTGGGCAGGAGTCCGCAGGCCTTTCCTTCCTGCAGGCTCCCTCCCCCAGGCCTCTCTGGAGCGGCCCACCTTCCTCAGCTTTCACGGCCCTGCCAGCGGCTGTTCTCCTCTCTCCATTCCCTGCAGAGCGCCCAGCCCCCAGCAGGACCAGCCTCGCCTGCACCAGCTCCCACCAGCCCTCCTTCCATCAGGGGGCAGCTCACCTTCTGCTGCTTGGGCTTGATCCTGGCCGAGAGGTGCGGGATGTCATCGTAGGTCATCGAGGCGGGGCGCACAGGGTACTGGAGGGAGAGAGGGCAGGCATCAGTGCTCCCGCACAGAACCGCCCCCACAGCCTGCCCTCTCACTGGCACCACCTGGCCCCCTTCCAAAGAACTGCTTGGAGGCCTCCAACTTCCCCGGGGAAGCCCCAGCCTCAGGCACCCAGACCCGCACATCATCACCCTGCGGGCTCTGGCACCCGCAGAGCACCGCCATGGAGCCAAGAGGGAAAACAAGGCTGGCCAAGTGCCGCTCACGGCCGAAGCTGGGCGAGGCCACGCGGAACGCACCGCCGCAGTCTCTCCTGCTCCAGAGGGACTTTCCCGGAACGGAAAGATGAAGACAGAGGAGGGAGCTGTCTGCCACTGACCTCAGAGAGCCCCCTGGGCCGCAGCGTCGCCACGTGTGACGTTATTTTTATGTCACACCTTAAGGTACTGCCCTGAACACACTAGGGCAATGGTCGGCAAACTGTGGCTCGCGAGCCAAATGCGGCTCTTTGGGCCCTTGAGTGTGGCTCTTCCACAAAATACCGACTTCTGCGCATGGGCCACGAAGTTTCAATCGCACTGCACATGCACGCCTGCACGTGGTATTTTGTGGAAGAGCCACACTCAAGGGGCCAAAGAGCCGCATGTGGTTCATGAGCAGCAGTTTGCCGACCACTGCCCTAGCGCCATATTTCCATCCCAATCCTCACTGTCGCACTTCCCCCCCACCACAAATAGGCTGAGTGAACGGCCGAGTCACGTTCGGACGCCCTCTCTGAAAGGCCCCCGGCGGCCTCGCCAGTGAGCCTGGGAGCTGTGCAGTGTGAGGTGAGCGCTCCTGCGGGGCCGCGTCAGGATGGCATTGAGCCAAGGAAATGATGCTTCCTAGAAGCCGCTCTGGTAGCAGTAAGGCGACCTTCTCTGCTTCCTGGGCTGGAGGCTGGAGCAGAGGCCCAGGAACGGCCCGGAGCCCAGCCCATCTGGAAAGAATGGTGGTGAAGGGCGCAGGTTCTGAAGGGAGGGCCCAGCCCCAAAGCTGCCAAAAGCAGAGCCTGGGGGTACAGATGCCAGCCCTTACCCTGGCACATGCTTGCAGGGTCTGTCCCAGGCCCCACCCCAGGCCGGCCCCGTGCACAAGGTATAGCCTCCCTGTGCCTCGTTTTACTGTATGCACCATGGGAGAAATACTTTAAATGAGAACCAGACGGTCAGGAATGAAAATGGTACAAAACAGCCTGGCAGTTCCTCAAAACGATGAGCTTCCTTGTGACCCAGCAAACCCACTCCTAGAGATACACCCCAGAGCAATGAAAACACATATCCAGCCGAAACCGGTTTGGCTCAGTGGATAGAGCATCGGCTTGCGGACTGAGGGGTCCCGGGTTCGATTCCGGTCAAGGGCATGTACCTGGGTTGCGGGCACATCCCCAGTGGGGGATGTGCAGGAGGCAGCTGATCGATGATTCTCTCTCATCGATGTTTCTAACTCTCTATCTCTCTCCCTTCCTCTCCGTAAAAAATCAATAAAATATATTAAAAAAAAGAAAACACATATCCACCCAGGCACCTGTCCAGGAAGGGCACTGCAGCATTCATTACACGTGAGAGCCAATACAGCACCGACTGGTGCATGGATAAACAAAATGTGCTGCGTACAGACCCACACTCCATAAAAAGGAATGAGGCACTGATATGCCGGTGAATCTCAAAAACATCATGCCAAATCATGACAGCCAGACACAAAAAAGGCCACATATTGTGGGATTCCAGGACAGGCAAACTCACAGAGACAGAAAATAGGTTAGCCCAGCTGGTATGGCTCAGTGGTTGAGCATCAACCTATGAACCAGGAGGTCACGGTTCGATTCCCAGTCAGGACACTTTCCGGGGTTGCGGGTTTGACCCCCAGTAGGGGGTGTGCAGGAGAAAGCAAATCAATGATTCTCATTAATGTTTCTTTCTCTCTCTCTCCCTTCCTCTCTGGAATCAATGAAATTTATGTATATACACATACATATACATATATATATAAAATAGGGTGATGGTTCCCTAGGGCTGCAGGTGGGAATGGGGAGGGGGGCAAACGTCCTAAAATAAACTGTGGTGCTGGTTCACAGTCCTATGAACAGACTAAAATCCACTGCTTTATCCACTTAAATGGGGGGATCATATGTTATGTAGATTAGATCTCAATAAAGCTGTTACAAAATTACAGTAACAATAAGCACACAGGGTTACTGTGGGATAAAATGAGATCAAGTGCTTGAAGTGAGGTCGGCACACAGTCCATGCTCAATGCTGTGAGCCATGATGTCCGGGAGGAAGGGGCTCCGGCAGGCAGGCCTGAGCTGCAGAGGGGCCCCTCTGAGGCCGGGAATATCGGTGGCGTCAACCTAGTGCCAGCTCTGCACCAGGTAGCATTCCAATCTCCAGGGGACCCTCCAAGTCGGGAATTAACACTATCACCATTTTGCAAATAGGGAAACTGAGTCAGGGCGATTAAGGAACTTGCCCAAGGGCTGGCAGCTAGGTGGAAACGGAGCTTTAGCCAGACCACGGCTCTGCCTCTTGGCTGTCTTGCTCTTGTGACCCACCCAAGAGAACGGAGAGAGCTGTCCTGTCACACTCGGAGGCCTCCGGGGTTCTTGACCCCACCCCCCACCGCACGTCCACCCCCCACCAGTGCCTGCTTTCCTTCTTTACCACCAGGCCCCACAATTACCTGAAACAGATAGAGCTTCTCCGCCAGACTTCTGGCCAAGTACACATCGACCTGGGGACAAGGGAAGATTTAGCCAGAAGACAGGCCCAGGGTTGCCCTGCCCGCTGGTGTGAGGGGCAGTGGCCCAAGGCAGTCTGGGGCGGGAGGGAGAGCTCAGCCATTGCTAACACCAAAGGGAACCAGGTCTCCAATCTGGACACAGCCAGGGCCCCTCCCTCAGGCTCCCAGGGCCCTACCCAGGTTCACTGTAATGGAATAAACTGTGTCTTCCCTGGGGCTGCCCAGAGGAGGGCGTCCTGGAAGAGGGCCAATGCTTTTCTGATGCAGATGCAGGAGGGGGGGTGCCTTCCACCACCCAGCCTGGATCCGCCTAGCGCCCTGACGCCCTGGCCACACCGAGGGGCCTGCAAGCCCCTTGGGAGACTGCCTGGCCCAACTTTCTTCTTAACACTAACCTCCCTGCCCACCATGTCCTGCCTGCTCCCAGCTCCTCACAGGAACCATGCACCTACTCTCCCGGCCCCAGGCCTCGAGGACTGGTGAAGGGCCCAGGTGCAGGGGAGGCTCGGTGCAGGGCCTTCTTGGTGGAGGAACAGCATGTGCAAAAGCCCAGAGTTCTAGGGTGTGTCCTCATCGGCACTGACACTCCCTCCTGCCCGAGGCTCACTGTCCTCACAGCCCCAGTGAAGTGAAGGGGAGATGGCAGACCCATTCCTTCGTTCAACAAAGAATGCCACTGACTATTACGTCCAAGGACCTGAACCTGGCTTTGGGGACACGGTGAAGAGAATAAAAACTCTGTTTTCGCTTTCGCCCGGCCGGCGTGGCTGTGGTTGAGCACTGACCTATGAACCAGGAGGTCATGGTTCGATTTCCAGTCAGGGCACATGCCTGGGATACGGGCTCGATCTCCAGTCAGTGACTCTCATCATTGATGTTTCTCTCTCTCTCCCTCTCCCTTCCTCTCTATATTTAATAAAAATATTCCTCTCAATAAAAATGTTTTTTTAAAAACTCATAAAACTCTACTTTCTCCAAGCTTCCATTCTAGCAGAAGGAGACTGAAGTCTAGGGCTAAGTGCTGTGGCCAAGTGCAAGGCAAGGCCGAGGTAAGGGGCTAGAGGGCTAGGGTCGAGGGGCAGTGTGCAGAAGGCCACACAACCACAGGGTGGTCAGGAAAGCCACTCTGGCACGGAGATGCCAGCAGAGACCTGGAGGGAGGGAGGGAGCCAGCCAGGCAGGCACCTGGGGAAAGAGGTCCCAGTCTGGCTGGAGGGTGGGCAGAAGAAAGCCAGCCCCCTGCCTGCAGCCTGGGCACAGCGCTTACCTCCTGTACGACTGGGTCATCCTCTTCATTGGCCATACTAGGGGGGAGCCAGCCGTGAGGTCCGCAGACTCAATCTGTAAGGGAGAGCGGAAGGCCTGGCCTGTCAGTCAGCGTCCAGCCGACACTCCACTGTGCCCATTACGTAACAGGTGCTGCTCTGGGAGGGAGGAGCCCAAGACAAACAGGTGTTGATCTTCTTTCTATGTGTTTCCTGGAGTCAATAATGACAGCCAATATATAATCCATCCATCAGCACCCAAAAGAGAGGAACCACCATACCATGGGTGCAGACGGGTGGGAGCTGCACCTGGGGGAAAGGATGACCAGTTGGAAGGGTTTTTCTGACCACTCACAGTAAGAATTCGCCAGAACGGAGGCTGGCTGAGCCACAGCCATGATCACAGCACTCGGGAGGGAACTAACTGGGTCCATGGGAAGTTTTAAAAACGATTCAGAGAATTCTGGTCAAGATGGCGAAGCAAGAAGCAGCAATGCTGACCATGGCCACATTACAATTACAACTAAATTACAGAACAGCCGCGTCTGAGAGCCACCTGAAAGCGAGCTGAACGGAACCCCCGTAACGAAGGATAAGGACAGACCAAAGAAATGACATACAGGCTGGCAGGAGGGCAGAGACCAAAACAGACTCGCCCCACGCCCACATGTGGCGACAGCTCCTGTGTGCAAGTCCCCCCCAAAACAGCTGGTTATGAAACTCAGCAGGGACCCCGTGCAGGTGAGACTGAGGGCTGCTTTGAAGTGCTGAGCACAGACTTACCCAGAAACATGCACTGTGGGCTTCAGCACCCACAGCAATCTTGAGAAAGAACAAAGTTGGAGGTATCATGCCACCTGATATCAAACTATACTACCAGGCTACAGTAATCAAAACAGCATAGACTGGTATAAAAAGAGACACACAGATCAATGGAACAGAACAGAGACTCCAGAAATAAACCCATGCCTATATGGTCAAGTAATCTATGACTCAGGAGGCAAGAATATACAATGAGATAAAGACAGATTCTTCAATAGAATCAATATGTCTCTTCTCACACTGATATCAGGTGGCATGATACCTCCAACTTTGTTCTTTCTCAAGATTGCTGTGGGTATCTAGGGTCTTCTGTGGTCCTGTATAAATTTTTGGATTATTTGTCCTAGCTCTGTGAAAAATGCCAGTGGTATTTTTTTCTTTTTTAATTCTTACCTGGGGATATTTTTTTCATTGATTTCCCTCCCCGCCCCCCCCCCCCCCTTAGAGTGAAAAGGAGGGTGGAGTAGGAGAGAAAGAAGGAAGAGGAGGGGAGAGAGAAACATCAGTGTGAGAAGAGACATATCAATAAATGGTGTTGGGAAAATTAAACAGACACATGCAAAAGAATGAAACTGGACTACCTTCGTACACCATATACAAGAATAAATTCAAAATGGATCAAAGACTTAAATGTAAGACCTCAAACCATAAAACTCCTAGAAGAAAACATAGGCAGTGAACTGTTGGACATCACTCTTAGTAATATTTTTTTGGCTATGCCTCCTCAGGCAAAGGAAACAAAAGAAAAAGTAAACAAATGAGATTACATTTAATTAAAAAACTTTTGCACAGTAAATGAAACCATCAATAAAACAAAAAAAACAACCTACCCAATGGAAAAAGACATTTGCTAATTATATATCCAATAAGAGGTTAATATCCAAAACGAACTCATACAACCTACAGGGTGTATAATTTAAACTAACCACAGAGCTCTGCATCTTCGTCTGACTGGTCTGTACATAAGAGAGCACTTTAGGAGGCAAGACTGACCCACGAGTTCCCAGGCTCCGCCCTGGGTCTGTGCTCAGTTTCTATCAGTTTGGTGTAGATTTTAGTTCCATATTTGCAACTCCAAGCCCACATGGTAAAGTCTGTGTAGTCTGTCCTGGAGCTTGTTTGGCTGCACCTGAATCATAAGCTACTACAAGTAGAATAAAGAATTTCCAAGCCTGCCCTAGCTGGTTTGGCTCAGTGAATAGAGCATCAGCCTATATATAGATAAAGGTTCGATTAGGGCCAAAGGCACATGCCGGGTTGTGAGCACAATCCCCCCAATAGGGGGCGTGCAGGAGGCAGCCGATCAATGATTCTCTCTCATTATTGATGTTTCTCTCTATCCCTCTCCCTTCCTCCCTCTAAAATTAATGAAAAGATATTTATTTTAAAGTAGGAATTTTTAATGATGAATAATCTCCAAATGGCCATAGCAGAGCATTAAATGAAAGCTCCGAGCCCGCGTCTCGTTTAGGTGCACGGGAGTGGGTTTTGCACACAGTGGGTTTGGAGCTGACTGGGAACAATGGGGAATTACATCAGCTGTGGTTTTCACGTTGTTGGTTTTTTTCTCCCCTTTTTTTCTTGTTTATCATCTTGTGAAAGGTTTTGAAACTCGGTAATAAAAAGAGTTGGTGTAAAAATTAAAAAATAAAAATGTAAACTCATACAAACAATACCAAAAAACAAACAGGGTGAGGTACAGGGGAAGGCTAGAAGAGGTCAATGGGGGGAGAAAGAGGGACATATGGGATACTTTCAATAATAAAGATTTTAAAAAAATAAAAACCCAAACATCTAGATTTCAAACAAACCGAATTAAAAATAAATATGGGCAGAGTACCTGAATAGACATTTCTCCAAAGAGGACATACAAATAGCCAATAGACTTATGAAAGGATACTCAATGTCACTAATCATCAGGGAAATACAAATTAAAACCACAATGGGATATCACATCACAGCTGCCAGAATAACTATCATCAATGAATCAACAAAAGCAAATGTTGGGAGGATGTGGGGAAAAGGGAAACCTCATGCACAGTTGGCGAGATTGTAAACTGGTGCCACCACCAAGAAAAATAGTATAAAGGTTCCACAAAAAAATTAAAAAGAACTACAATATGGCCTAGAAATTCCACTTTTGGATATTTATATGAAGAAATCTAAAACACACAG